TAAATTTAACAAATTTTAAATGACATAAAAGTAAGAAATTTAAAATTCTTTTTTTTCTATACAATGTTAATATCAAATCGGTTGGTAGCAATTTGATCCTTATATTTATTTATTTATTTTAAAATTTCAAATTGACTTCCAGAATTTTAAAACATTGTAAAATAGTCCCATAATTTTTTAAATTTTGCAAATATATCCATTTAAATTTTCAAAAATGATAAATTAATCATAATTTTTTAATTTTTAATTTTCAAAAATGATAAACTAATCATAATTTTTGAATTTTAAATTTGACCCAAAACATTTAAAATTTATAAAAATGACCTAAATAATCCAAAAAATCTATCAAATAAAAGAATTTAATAATAAAAAGACTAGATTGGATCATTTGAATTCCTTAAATTTTAATTTTTTTTTTAAATTAAATTACTTCATCTAAGCACGCTATAAAACTAGGCATGGCAAGAAAATCCGGACCCGTCGGGGCCCGCCCCAAAATTAACGGAGAAAACCCGGTTTGAGTGGGTACGAGTGCGGGTGCGGAGAAAATCCGACTTTTAATTACGGGTGCGGGGGAGACACTAAGACCCACCCGCACCCGGCCCCGCCCTGCCCCCGAATAATGCATTTTAGTTTAATTCTCTTATTTTACTTATTTTAATATTTATTTATTAATTATATTTTTAATTAAATTATTAATATTTTTATTGCAATTAAAATAATTAAATTAATCAAATTAATATTTATTTACTAATTAAAATTTTAAAAATAATTAATTTATTAAAATAATCAATTTTTTAATTAAATTATTAATTTTTATTGCAATTAAAAAGAAATTAATTTTTTTCGTGTGGGGGCGGGCCGGGTGCACCCGTTCTCTACTGGGGCGGGTCTGAGCGGTAAATTTTTACCTCCGATTAAGTTTGGAGGCGGGTCGGGGGCAGATTTTACCATCCCTATATAAAACTTTTCAATGAGCAGAAAGTTTGTGACTCATGGACAATGTAGCTAGAAAGCAGAGGTCAAACTCAATGTTGAGCTTAACAACAAGATGCGCCTTTAATTTTTCTTTGGGACAGTATGGACTGTGCAAGAAAAATAAAAAGGAATTGCTTTTTTTATCCTAAGACTTACTCTTACACTTCAGTTAAAAATCAAAACTACTTTTACATTATAGAAATGTATTTTCAAATACACCTTATTCACACATAATTTTTTCGGTATTGAGTCAGACCCAAAATTAATATTAAAAATTAATACAAAAATGCATTTATGTATAACTTACAGAGATCCACTTTCAGACGCGTTTTTAGTGTAATACGCGCTAGGCTATTTTCCCTCCTCATTTCACTTTTACTCTCTCAAACTCGCTCATTTGATTTCCAAGTTTATGCTCTTAACATCTAATAAATCAAAGAGGTCAACATCAAACTCACATTTAATAAGTTTTTTTATGTTTCTATTTTTTTTTTATTTCTTTGCACATTTATAAAAAATTGAGCATTAGGTAGTTTAGATAGGTTTATTACCTCAGCAATGTAGTTTAGATGAGCAATACATTTTAAGTAATGATGTATTTCCATGTATCTTTCGATCAGGGGAAGACTGTTATACCACAGTAGGATTATCATAGATAAGACAGTGAAGATGATAGTGACATTGTTGGAAGCTGGCCTAGAGGGTGCCTTGAAGAAGATAGAAGACACCCGAGAGTGTCATGTTATATTATGATTCTTTGAGAGGGTGTATGCGCAACAGCTTTTAGCAGTAGAGTTGACCGCTGGTGATGTTGGAAAGTTTATGTTGCATAGAGCATACACATTGAGAGCATACATGTTGTACTTGGTTAGCACGTTCACTTTTGTTGACAAAAGTGCATATTATATGGATGTGGTATACCTCGGATACTTCGTTGACTCTGAGCAAATTCATGAGTACAACTGTGGGTGCTGCTCTTTTGGTATACTTCTACTCTAAGTTAGCTGAAGGTCGTATGTGGAAGATCAAACAAATGAGAGTTAATTATGTGTTTTTTACGGTAATATATTTGTATCATTTACTGTTTATGTACTATTTTCATAGCATTTATGTTATGTCATTACTAATAATTCATATGTACCATATTTAGACATGGATCCTCCAACACTTCCCACGCATATCTGACAGGTCATATGTTGATACTTATACTAAGGATATGACATGTGCTTGTGCATTCACCCGCTCAGAGGGAATCAGGCGATGGAGCCCTTCATAGTGTATCTTAACTGTATTGAAGCAGATGATATACACTTTCAAGTAGGGGTGAGCAAGGGACGGGCCGAGATGGGTTATGACTAACCCTAATTATGTCCTAAATTTTAACCGGACTATTTTAATGACCCTAACTCATATCTAAACCTGTAAAAACTCGATAATATATAAGTTAGTTTAGACCGGGTTAATGTAAGACGCTATCGGATTGACCCGAAATATACGGAGAAAAAAAATTTAGTGACTTAAAAAATTTATTATAGTATTTTAAAAAATTCATTTAAATAAGAAATATGAATAAAACCATTAGCATGAATGAAAAACAATGAATACATCTAAAGTCAATTTTTTAAAATAAAAAACATGATATAATTTTATATATGTCATCACCTTTTTATTTTCCTTAAAACATAGTAAGAAGATGTAAAATAAAAAACGTGATGTAAGAGAACTAGAAAAGTGTGAAAGTTGAAAAGTGGGAAGATGTGTACTTAGTATTTACTTAGTGCATATATTAAATTATGAGGTGGAAAGTAGAAAAGTCTATTGAAATTTTGGAATAATCTAAATATACCAATAAATTAAATAAATAAATAGTATCACATGTGCATTCATAATATTAGGACGGGTTGGGTAACCCGAGGGTCAACCCGAACCCGTCCCACCTGATACTAGGTTTATTTTTGGACATCCATTTTTTACATGAGACAGAAAAAAGACTAATCCAGAACTATTGGGTTGGGACGGGTCTTCGGGTTGGGTTGGGTTCTGCACACCCTTACTTTCAGACGTATGTAGATCATTGTTAGACATGTCCCTTGGACGACATAACCTTCTACTCTAGATGGTTGTCTTGTGGGTCACATCTGATGAGTTCACGTCTTCTTGAGCGCATCATGCGCCAATTCGAATATATGTAGTTTGTTCTTAGAGACTCTTCTGCTTCTACTCCTCCTATGGCTCGTAGAAATGTAAATGTCATGTATGATGATTACCTTAATCATATGGTACCAGATGACGCATGAGGTACCTTAACTCTTAGCGCCGGAAGTTGTGCATACGGCTACGTCTAATGGTATTTCAGGATGTCACATCCTTATATGACACTGGATGTTCCAGGAGATCCACCTAGGTCTACTCATCAGGAGATACTATAGGAGAAGCATGTTAAGGCATACCATGTTGTTGATGTGTTGCCTGCATAGTCTTGCGCATGCGGGTATAGATAGAGGCGTCTTTCCAAATGGCTGTGGTAGAATGGACATTGTGGATGTCAATCTTACTGAGGCATGGACGACACTACAAGACAAATGGCAACTTGGGGGGGGGGGGGGGGGGGGGGGGGGGTCTGACATACGCACTAATATAGTACTTGTATTAGGAACACTATTATCGTTTGTAATTTATTTTGACTTTATTATAGATTTCAAATTTATCCATCTATATATACCATTTTCATATTATTTGATAAATGTATGATATGACTTATATAAAATTTATTATAATAGTATAGATAGAATACATGGTCTATTACATCAGTATATCTCTAAAACAAAGTCAAAATTTATTGTCTAAGGTGAATACGGATATGCACTTCCATATTCTATCTAGGATGAATACAGAGATGCATCTCCTAATCAATTTATGTTAAAATGAGGATGTCTCAATTAGAAATGCATGGATGCTCATAAAGAGAATAAGGAAATGTATCGCCGAACTAATTTCAGACAAAAAATGGTGTGTGACTTTTTACGCATGTATTCGTTGTGAAAATGGTGCATCCAAAAAAAAGTCAAAATTTATTGTCTAAGGTGAATACGGATATGCACTTCCATATTCTATCTAGGATGAATACAGAGATGCATCTCCTAATCAATTTATGTTAAAATGAGGATGTCTCAATTAGATATGCATCAATTTATGTTAAAATGAGGATGTCTCAATTAGATATGCATGGATGCTCATAAAGAGAATAAGGAAATGTATCGCCGAACTAATTTCAAACAAAAAATGGTGTGTGACTTTTTACGCATGTATTCGTTGTGAAAATGGTGCATCCAAAAAAAAGCATTTCAGATTCGTATGAGCATTTTGAAATTTCCTTTAAGGTGCTTCTCCATCAATTAGACTTGAGAAGGAATTAAAAAAAAAGAACATGAAACTCACAATACAGCAGTAGAAGCAGTGATCAAACTCACTGTTGAGCTTAACTACAAGATGGCCCTTTAATTTTCCTTTGGGATAGTAGTTTCAAACTATCCACCCAAGCTCTTAAAGTTTTCAGACATTGGAGGAAATCTAAGTATGGACAATGTAGGCAAAACAACCATGAAGAAATTAATATGCAACTGATAAAGATACTATATCTAGCTAGATAAACACACAAGGCATACTACAAAGATAGGTAGTCTTCTGTATTGGTGCACACCAGTACAAAACTGATACAAATGGAGGTTCTGTTTCAAATTGCATTTGCAAACTCATCATTTTATGCATTATTTATCTAGAACCGAAAGGTACAAGATGAAGTAATACACATTTTTATTTTCGATCGAAAAAAATGATGCTAAGATTGGTAGTAGTGGCACACCAGCCAGTTTCACAAACTTCCACGTTCCATCTGCATAGTTGAAGAATTTCGTTTAAAGAAATCATTAGGATTGTGGGAATAAAATCCAAATATTGAGGTATGGAGAAGTATAAAAAGTTGTTCGTAGTGCTAAAAGCACAAGAAAAATATTGCGTACTTTTCAAGTCTCGAGGTAGTTCTGTATTGGCACACCGGACTCTTCAGTCAACTTTTTAAAACTAGCTTGCAGTTTTTTTGTTATTGGCCCAACTTTTCCATCACCAATTGTGCGTCCATCAACCTTCACTACCTGAAGAGGGTAAACAACCCTTTGTGAATTTGATAAGGAAAGAAATTGATCAAGATTCTTAATGGGGAAACAAGGAGGAACAGAAATTTCAAACTGAGTAATATATCATGTCAGTAGCATAATTTAGACAAAACTTTGGAAGGTATAAGGTTTACTTACTGGGCTTAGTTCTCCCATTGTACCTGTTGTCCATACCTGTAAGGCAACTTTCTAGTTATAACTTGATATATATTTGAATATTCAAACCAATGGAGAGAGAGGGAGTCTTAAAATTATGGAACATATTGATTATAAGACCATTCAAACCAAATAGTTGAAAATTAAAGATTCTTAGTATATCAGTATTACGATCATATAATGAAAATAAAACTACTGAATTTCATATCAGAGTGAACTTAATACATTGCTGCTTTTTAATTAAATCTTCACTCGTGAGTTGTGACATCTCGGTGTGGTTCAAAAAAACTCGAGAAATATAGGAGTAACATTTTGGAAATATATATTCCTCATTTCCATAAGCCAGTAACAAATACTTAATCAGTAGAAAATAAAATTCACTTTTAAATTAATAGATTTCTAGGAACAGTATATATTATTGGTGAACCTCATCTGCAGAATGCACTTCTGATAGGCTGATTCTCCGCTCTTCTAAAATAAACTGCTCCTTCACCACAAGATCCATAACCTTAAATTGCAAAACAGCTTAGTTCTGTAGTACCAAAATATAACAATAATTGTAATAAGAATGAATCTGCATAACTTACAGTTGCTCTAGTAATTCCAGGAAGGCAGTAATCAGCATGTGGTGTCAAAACACGGCCTTTCTTAACTATGAACTACATAAAGATAAAGCAATATATTAGTTAAAATGTACGTGCAATCTACCATTGTGAGTTGCCAGCAAAACCCTCTGCAATAGAAACCGGCGAGGAAAATCTTCTAATCCTTCTCGTTTATCAAATAATGAGATTTAACAAGATTTTATTGCCACTTTGGATAGCAAGCTTATAGGGAAAATGAACACTGTGCAAGAATATGATTTTGCATTAAATCAACTCATGTAATCAATATAAATTATCAATACTGTAAATCAATATTTTAGGAGTTCAACTCCAAGAATCGCCTTCCTAGTATATAATTATCAAAATAGAGAACAAAGCCTTTATAACAGTTGAGACAAAGTTCAAGACATACCATGTTTGTTGCATTGGTTTCAGATACAAAACCATCTTTGTCCAGCATGATTGCATCATCTGCTTTTGCATTATTGCTTTCAACCTGCACCAAACCAAATAACGATATTTGTGTGAAATATTATTCAGAAAGACAAGATATTAACATGAAAAGATGTTTAAAGTATGGCTTATTCCATTTTGCATTAATATATGTAAAAATTCATGCGGTGAATAGAAAATTACCTTTGCAAGTATGTTGTTCAGGATATTGTTGTGGTGTATCTTTGAATCCAAATTCTGGTAACAAACAAATAAAAAGATCTAACAATCAACTAGACAGACCAAAAGAGAGTATGTCAATCAAACAGAAACATTGTTGGTTTTGAATTACTCTTGCCAATTAAAAGCTTCGCTTCTCCCTCAGGTCTCATATATAAGCAAAAAAATTTGCATATATTAGACCACAAACGTAACATTTTTTTGCTTATAATTGAGACTGGAGAGTATCTCCCAAGCAATCCCATGTCAATTTCAACTATCATTATCATAATGAATAGTATGTGAAAGCATGAAAATCATGATAACAACAATTCAAGCATAGATTATTTTTCTCCTTCAAATTAACAATAATACAAACAAAAAACTTACATTTGGTGAGTTACGGCGTGTTGTGGCAGTTACAAGAACTATACCACGCTCATTATCATAAACAGGGGGCTTCCATTCGGCAAGCACTGCATAATTTATCAAGGACCAATTTCAGTAGAACATTGCATGTCCAGGTGAAAAGCATATTGGAAGGGAGGTTTAAAACTTAAAGAAACCAAATCTTCATAGATCATTTAAGTGTAAATTTCTAAGGGTTTTCACTATGAGCTTTTCATAAACCATTTCTAATCTTATGGGCATGTAGTTAAAAAATTTCCTTTAACTTGAGAACAACACCTTCTGATCACAAAGCATTCCTCCAAATCAACCACCTAGGTTACATCCTATAATATATACCTCCCTTTGTTTTTCGATCACATTGTACGGCAGATCCAGGTTCACAAACAGGTTTTGCTAAAAATTGCTGAATAATGCCAACATGGACATACAAATGTTATCAGAAAACCTAAATATTTTGGTGCCAGTATCATTGTTACTTGCAAAAGGTTAATAAATTGTTACCAATTAGTGTGCATCCATACAGATTTAATGACGGGCTCATCCCAGAAGTAACCTAGAAAAGAAGATAACATAGAATTGGATAATAGTCAGTTTCGCAATTGAATTAAATATGATTAATGGTTTCATAACTTTGGTTGCAAATAGAATGAAATATAGTCAACACTAGTGAAACAATTGGTTACCATTTAGCATATTGCATATTAACAAGGTTAGATTGTTGAGAATGGAATAAAAATCATTAGGAAACAAAGAATTAATGTAATAGAAACAAAAGTCTGAGAGAATAAACCTTCTTTCCCCGTGTTAGAGAAAGTCGGATGTGGGCATCGTCAAACATCCCATTCCTAATTAGGGTTTTGAAAACAGCTTCCTTAATCTGCAATATACCTTACAACTAATCCCATCACTAGAATTATGAAAAAGTATTCGGGACAACTGAATTTAGTAGGTTGTTCAGTAAGATCAAGAAACATCAAACACAGAGCCCGTCAGAATTAAAAATGTGGTAACAATCAGAGTGACTCATGATGGATGAAGAGAAAGCATCTTCAGACTCACCTCATTTCGAGTTGGAACATTTTCAAAAGCCAAAGCTTTAGCTGAATCAAACATCCTGGTGAGAATGAAACAATGAATTACCAAACTACAAGTTTAATCAAATTGATTGGAAATGAAACTGAAACAAATAACAGAATAGAATTCAATCTATGCTCTCTTTTATGTAAAAATAAAAAAAAATGAAACAAAAAAGTATCAATCTATGCTTGTTTAATTAAACAGCTATATACATTATTGATAAAATAACCAGACATCAACTCCCAATTTCTCTCAAGTTTGTAACACTACCTACCTGTCCAGATGTTCCTCAAGCTTAAATATCTTTTTGTTATACACTCGAAGACCCTCCCAAACAGAGTCGCCGGCTTGGGTAATAGAATCAAACACTGAAACCTAATATATCATAGAAAAAAATTTAAAATCCCGAGAATGCGTGCTCAATTGCATAATTCATGTGCCTTATTTTATTTACAGGAAACCTTGAAATGTTGTAAAACAAATACCTTGGCATTTTCGCGTGTCACAATCTCATCACCGACCCAAACAAGCAGTTTCTCATTTGCAGGAACTGGAAGGTCCGGAGGAGGCAAAGGAGAGCTCAGAAGAGATGACTTCTTCTTTACATGGCGTCGAAGCATGTTGTAAAGAGGTAGACTTTGCTCCAATATATCATAGAGAGAAAAGGGAAATGGCTGAAAAGGAAATAACAAAACGGGATAAACTCAACCAGGATTTCCCCCAAACCCAACCAATGATAAGGAAAGAAGGCATAGGGATGGCTATAAAAACATCAACCGTGTATGCAATTGCGATAAGATTAAGCTATAAAATATCAATCTTGTATCATTTGTTATAAGATTATACCTTATTTTTTACAAAGATATGAGCTAACTAGGTGCTTTGTGAAAAACCATGTTGCATTACAAGACACATACTGTTCTTTTATATGCCTAATCATTTCTTTGCTTTATATATTTCCAATGCTCGAGACACATATATGTTGCCTTCAATTGACGAGTTCTTATGCTATGCTATTTTTAGTTCTCAAGTAGAAAAGATTACATGATTTTATCAGTAGGTAAAACCTTGTATCACAATTGGAAAACATTGAAAAAGATATTGATTGTTACTGCAAATGGTATAATGGCCTAGACTCGTTGCAACGGGAACTAAATTGAAGGCATATATATAGGAACTACATACCTCAGGATACTTCTTTTGTTCCTTAAAACCAGTAGATTTGTGTACAGTGTTGTACCACCAAGGGGCCCATAAGCCATCTATTGGTTTTGGACCTGCTTCCCAACTGAAAAGTTCAAATTTTGAGTTGTCACTTCCCATGTATGAATCTAAGAATGAGTTCAAGATTTGGAAGAATGCTTCAACCACATTTTCAATGACTAATTCTCTCCAAATATTTTGAATCTAAAAAGATATTTCCACATAAAACATTGAAATAAAGAAAGACCAGAAAAAGTAGCAGCACAAGGCTGGGTTTTTCATAATGAACACTCTGCATACCTGAGCATTGAAGGTTGAAAAGGAATCTCCAAATCATCACAAAGACCCCGTAAAGTAGCCTGCAAATTAACAAGATCACAAATTAAAGCAAGATTAAAAGCAGAATCTAGATTTGCATATAAGTCAGTCTGATCAGTAATGTATCTAAGCAAAACATAAAACTTCAAAGAAATTTAGACCTAAAGAAAACTTGCTATACTATTAAAGAAAACAAATTATATTCATATCTCAAGACAAGCAAATACATATTTTGGCTTATTTTGCTTCCAATTTGGATTCATTTTCGTCACATTCCAGAATCAAGCATGTTGAGAAAGCTCAAATACCTCGGGATCTTTTTGAAGTTCTTCAGCATCAATAACCGGCGGTGGTTTTCCACTCTCAGAGAGTTCATTGTATATATGAACAAGCTCCAACAAACCCAACTCAAAGAAAGATGGGGAGACAACCTTGTCAAAGGATGGCTGGAGAACACACAATGAAATCATCAGCAACTACCAAAAGATTAAAGTCGCATATAATTTGTGAAATAAGAATTACCAATATGTCAAGAGGATTTCTTATGAGAATGAAGTGTTTTCCTTTCTTCATTAAATCTTCTGGCAACCCAAGCACCTTTTGTTTTGACATATGCTAAAATCAACAAAGTAATAACAACAATGTAGTTATAGATAAATAAAAAGTGTAGAAATTAATTACCAACAAGGCATTCACATTAGATTGGATTATTTCTTCAAAGACTTATCTTACATAACAAACAATGCAAATGCACAAACAAAGGGAATAACTGTGAGAAATTTCCTCGTGGATTGCATCTTATCTTGAAGGAGACTCCGTTTACCTTGCAGAATCTATACTTTTTGTTTCCCGGACCATAAATTATGTCGTTAACAACCTTATTTCCATCCGACTCCTATTACAATTGAAAGAGCAACAAAAAATGAGGATTTAGGAATAAATGTAGAGTAGTTAAACTTAAAACGAGTGAGAGAGATAAATACCATACCGTTTCGGCGAGTAGTTGTTCCTTATACGGTCTGTTTAAACCGCTGATTTTAAGGAAATTAGCATAGAGAGGCTCATCAAGCACTTCAATGTCATCCCTCTAAACAAGCACAGATCACAAATGAATTGAACAGAATAAAGAAAAGAAAACATATAGATACCATAGTGATGACGATGATCTATGAAGTCGGACACTAGAAACTCGACACTGACAGTAACACGTCTAACACGTCGACACCAGTAATAACTTGAAGAAGAAAAAATTAAATGTAATCAAATGTCTCAGTTACCTGTGAAAAAGAGTACATTAGGGTTGTACTCAAGGACCTTGGAGCAGACCATGAATGAATGACCTCCATATTCTGCGATCAAAATTAGATGCAGTTATCATCATCACTCTTATCTGTTAGTCTTATATAGACTTATGGTAATTTAATTTAATTCAATTTAATTTCCCAATCAGCAACATTATTAATAATCTTAGAAACTTTGAATAATTATTATTTAATGAAGTTAATAATAGTGGTAAAGTTAAAAACGTGCACGTAAGATAATTGTAACCTCGAAAATTTATCCTGATATAGAAAGGGGAAGAATTAGGTATAGTACCTTTTCTGCAAGTGGAAACTATTTCCCTAGAAGAGAAAGCAGTGTCACTGAACCAGCATAGTGATTTCAGAAAATAAATCGAAGGGATCTCGGGAAGAAGAAATGTTGAAGAAGATAGAGAAGGAGTATTCTTTGATGAGAGTAATAACGGCAGTGAAAACAATATATACGTGTCATGTTTTAATTGGACCACAACCATTTTATCTATAATCTATTAAAAAGAAAAAAAAAAGTTAGTTGTGGTGGAATCTATTTTTATTCTGTTAACATATACATATATAATCTATATATATATATATATATATATATATATATATATATATATATATATATATATATATATATATATATATATATATATATATATATATATATATATATATATAAAGAAAAAATATGATTTTATAGTAGTTTTTTTTTTCAAATATATTTTTTTTTAATTTTTATTTTAAATTTTAACTTTTCTTTTTAATAAATAATAGTTATGTGATTGGTTATTATTTTTTATACTATTATTTACTGTTATTATTTTTAAAATAATAAATAATAAAATGAAAATTAATTAAAAACAATAATATAATTTATATTTTACACGTATGAGTATTATAAAATGCAGATGCAGATAAGTGTCCGTCTAAGTATTTTTATAAATAATACTATTATTTACTATTATATTTTAAAAATAATACTATTATTTACTGTTATTTTACACGTATGAGTATTTTTATTTATATCTGAAGCATAAATATATTTTTTATATATATACAAATGTTTGGATAATAATATAATTTTCGATTTATAAATACTAATTTTGTGTTTATATTTTTTATAAAAATATCTATTCAATAATTTAGTTTTATAAATATCAAATAATAACATATTATGTGTAAATATTATTTTAATTGTATAAATAAATATTAATAATATAAATAAATATAGTTTGTCTGTGCTTGAATTCATACATTATTTTAACTATATTTATCTTTATTTTCGTTAATTGTGAAAGTTTTGCAAATAACTTATTATCTTTCAACACTTGCAATGTAATCCTCAGATGCTCTGCATGATCTCTTTCCGACTTGGAATAAATCAAAATGCCATCAATATAAACTACCACAAATTGGTCCAAATAAGCATGAAAGATACGATTCATGTACTCCATAAATACGCCTGACGCATTGGACACTCCGAACGGCATCACAGTATATTCATAATGTCCATACCGAGTCCTGAAAGCCGTTTTCTGAATATCATCTTCTTTCACCTGAATCTGGTGATAACCAAATCTCAATTCAATCTTACTGAAAACATGAGCTCCCACAAGTTGATCCATCAGATCATCAATTCTCGGAAGCGGATATTTGTTCTTGATGGTAACTTTATTCATTTGATGATAATCAATACACAACCTCATACTACCATCCTTCTTTTTAACCAACAACACTGGAGCACCCCACGGAGACACACTGGGTATAATAAACTTCTTATCAAGTAATTCTCCGAGTTGAGATTTCAACTCTGCCAATTCTGACGCAGACATTATGTATGGTGCCATAGATATAGGTTTGGTACCAGGAACAAGATCAATTGCAAATTCCACCTCTCGCTGCGGAGGCAACTCTCAAATATCGTTCGGAAATACTTCTGGAAATTCTTTCACCACCAGTAACTCATTAATCGACGTTTTGGCCTCAACAAACAACGAGGCAAACACCGCAAACATTTTAGCTTCATCCAACAAGAATTTCAATTCCTTGGTAGATATAAAATTAGCCAACTCTTCCTCTTATGGAGTAAGAAATAACAACCTCTTTCGATAACAGTAAATGTAGACATAATTACTCTCTAGCCAATTCATCCCCAAAATAACATTCAGATTACTGAGTGGTAAGCAAATCAAATCCACTATGAAATCTCTACCAAAGATCGACACAAGAAAATTCAAGCATACAATGATGTAGTGATCGACCCAATAAATGGAGTATCAATCACCATTCATTTACTCAAGATAGATGGCACAAGTCCTAGTCTCTTCACACAATCAACAAAAATAAACGAGCGGGTTGCACCCCTTATCAATGATAGCAATCAAAGGAGTGTTATGAATGTAACAAGTACCTCTGACAAAATGTTCCTCATTAGTAGGCTGAGCCCCCACCAATGCAAATACCTTCCCACTAGTCTGCGACTTATTCGGCTTCAGACAGTGGGTGCTAACGTGACCCTGTTCACCACAGTTGTAACAGGTAGGTATATTGGTCCTACAATCTGCCACAACATGACCTCGCTTTCCGCATTTGAAACATTTCTTCACTTTATTTTGACATTCATTAGCACGGTGACTCACGTCACCGCATCTGAAACACTTGATAGGGTTGGAAGGATTTCCTGCCCCACTTGGCTTCTTGCCAGCAATCTCTTTCTGCTTTCCTTTATCAGTCGGAGCACTATAAGGTGTACTTCCATGTCTCTGCTTACCCCTTTTATCACTCAGGGCCTTATAGTGAGCAATTCGAGCCCTGTTGTCTTCATCATAAATCTGACACTTGTTCACCAACTCAGGAAAGTATCTGATCTTCTGATAAACGATACCTTGTTTGATCTTGGGACGCAGCCTATTTTCAAACTTGATACAATTCGAACTCGTAGTAGCATCAGTATTGTAATGAGGACAATACTTCACCAGTTCCTCAAATTGAGCTGCATGTTCTGCAACCGGCAAATTCCCTTGCTTCAATTCCAGGAATTCAACCTCTTTCTTGCCACGAACATCTTCTGGAAAATACTTCTCTAGAAACTCATTCTTGAACGTTGTCCAAGAAATAGGACCCCCTGCTGCTTCTAGCCTTTAACGGGTGTTATCCCATCAGTCTTCAGCTTCTCCATCCAGCATGTGTGTGCCAAATTGCACCTTCTGGACTTCATTACATCTCATGGCTCTAAATATTTTATCAATATCCTTTAGCCACTTTTGTGCCACATCCGGTTTGTGTCTACCCTCGAACTTATCTGGCTTGTTGTTATGGAACTTTTTCAAATTGCGGAACTTGACGTCCCCAACACTCTGAGTGATGCCCTGCACTACCTGCGCAATAGCGTGGAGCGCAGAAGCAATCACAACATCATTCCTATCAGCCATACTGCTCAACACCAAAGGAAGCACAAGTTAGAAGAAACACACAACTATACACACTTTATAGTCAGACACTACTACTACACTGACCGGACGGACCGACCTGCTCTGATACCAATTGTAACACCTTACTCTACCCATTCCTATAAAAAAAATAAAAATACGAAAATCTTGCGGAATCAAATCAGAGTTAACACACGTAGGGTGCCACATTCCAAAAACAACGTCAACCTGAAGTATTAAATCACTTCATCTATTATTTATTAATAAAAACAAATGCTTTTATTCCACAGCAGAACTAATTCAAACGGTTCAACATTAAACTCCAAGGTACATCAATACTCCACATAATATGTGGTCCAACAACAATTGATCAAAAACAGATACGTAACAAATAAAAAGTCAAATAACATAAAGATATCACAAAATCCTCATCCTGCCTGTGTTACGTATCAGAGCGACTCCTAAGACTCGATCAAATAGCAACACAATGCTCCAAACACTACTCAGGTACCTGATCATTTGTACTCCCAAATGAGTACAGACAAAACAAAAAAAAAGGGGGTGAGAACTACATTCAATAACTACACAATGAAAAATACATTCTAAGAGTAGTTAACACACTAATCACACGATTATGACACACATACAAGTGCCACCATATCATTCAGCATAAACATCCCACGTTCAATTATATATATGCAATGCGACTCAACTGACACGACACAATGCATGTGGTACCATCAAAATCACATACGGTTCATCCAAGAACCCAATTCCCGTCAGAATCCGGATATGTCGTATACATTCCTCTGAACTACCACTTATCTCCACACGACTCCCACATAGAGTCCGGACAAGACTAGGCACCCGTCATGGATTCCCACCTAGCTCGTCTCCATATAACATAATATGAATGCATGACACAAATTATGCACCACATAATAATTATTCAAGCATAATCTCATGATCCTCACTGATCACACACGAGCCACCTGCTCACCGTAATTCTCTCAGGAATTACCACCACAACACAAGACCATCCACACCCGACAATCTTAGCTCACACACATCCAACATGTCTCAACTAGACATTCTCATAAAATCCCACATTTTATTCTATTTCATGTTATTATTAGTTTCTCCTATGTCCATTTATACCATCTGAGTCTTACGGATCAAGAGAAATTACATCGCACGCGAAAACAGGAAATTTTCATAACCCTTCCCATACGCGTATGGCCACTCCCTTTCACCCAAGGCCTGTGTATCATACGCGTAGGGCTCATCTGCCCAGGCCATCCATACGCGTATTTCCTTGGGCCTTACGCGTATGACCAGAGGGTGATTTCTCCTCCCAAATGTTCCAAAGTTGCCCATACACGTAATGGCATGATCATACACGTATTGCCTCCCCTTCCTTATGCATACCATACACATATAGCCAGAAGGTCGTGCTGGCACTGGGACAAGGCACCTACCATACGCGTACAGCCTCTGGGTGTGTCCCTCATACGCGTATGACCAGTATGCATACCAAAATCCCAATTTGTTTCATCTACACGAATTCTCACACAATGGAATCCATTCCAACACCTAAATTAGATCCAAAACAGT